ACCGGGCGCTTCACAGCACCTGTGTCTGGCATCTACCAGTTTTCAGCCAACGTCCACATCGGTGAGTGTTGTTCACTGGCGCCTTTTCTAGTTTAGCCTCCAGGCATGGGGAGGGATTCTAGAATGCCCACTGGCTGCCTTTCGGATGCTTTTCAGAGTGAAGCATGTGTAAGCGCCACTCATTGGCATGATTCATCAGTACCACGCAAACCTCTACCATCTGAGCTAGCAGAGAAGCTCCATTAGCGGGATGCAGCAGTAGGGTGTTGTCCTCCCGTGGGCAGGCCACTGCATGCACTTTGCCATTTTATAACACAGGTGTTACAAGCCGTCCTCTCTGCTACCATAAGCGGGTACAGTCTGAGGAAGGGCTGGTATTTTAGAATCCTACAGACATTCCATTGCATTTCCTGCCTCTCATAGATAACAATGCCTCAGACTTTTATGTGGCTTTTGGTTCTGGCTCGAGCTGGCTGAATTATTTACAGCGAATGGTTTCCCAGTTGATTTCCCAGAGAGCACAGTGTCCATGGATAGCAGACCTCAATTTTTGTTACTCGTTTGTTTGCCAGTTTGAATTTGTTGGTAGGGCTTTTGTATGAACAGCCCTTGTGTTGCTTGGGCTCTCTTCTCTGAGAATAGCTCTGGGAATTCACTATCTGAAGGGCACTGGGCAGCTCTGACCCTTTATCAGCTGTCCTGCTGCTGCCCAAAAGTAATTTAGTTTCTTAATCAAACGAATCTCTATTTTGGGCCCGACTTCGCTTTTCAAAAAAACATTTGTATGAAAAAACTTGCCCCCCCCCGTGCATGACTATGGAAAGTGTGGACTGAGTATGTGGAAACAGGCAAACATGGTTAAACCAAAAGGACATCCAGAACCCACCAAAATGTTCACTGATGCTTTTCCCTCCTATTCACCCCAATGCCAAACCAGAGGGGTGCTTCTGTAACACAGCTGTAGGTGCTGCTATAGCGTATGGTGGTTGATGATTTGCCCTGCTGTAAAGGGAGTGTCTTTTTACTTTGTTTTCATGGTTTGCTTCTCTCCAAGACCATAGTGAGCTAAAGAGCAAAGTGCAGCTCCGAGCCAGAGACAACGTCCGTGTGCTGATCTGCATCGAATCCCTCTGCCATCGATACACGTGAGTCACTGCAGTGCGGGTGTTAACCTGTCAGAGACTGCTTCTCTTGGCAAATGTCATGGAGAGCCTCTGAATGAGGGACCAATCAGAAGCCTACTGGACTGAGCATCTTCAAATGCCCTGGTGTTCATCTTTTCAAATTCAGTAAACAGATTGGCTATTACCGTTGGATCTCCTAACGAATAAAGCACTCACCTCTCCTCTGTGCCATCATGGTTCCAAGCTATCCTGAGCCAGGCCTGCCGCTGGGTGGGCAGGTTTGGGGGGCAAAAGAAAGCAACTTCCCTAGGGCCCAGTGATTCAAAAGGGCCCAGAACTCCTGGCTGTTGCCACTGCTACTGAGGTAGCGGTAGGAGCCGTGGGCCCTTTAAATCACTGCTGGAGCCTTGTGTAACATGCTCCAGAGCCCCTGAGGGCAGTCTGCCCTGGCTCTGCCCCTTCCAGCTAAGACTCCGCCCCTTCTGGGAGGGCAGAGCCCTCCCCCCTCCCCGCCTCCCACACAAACACCTTGCCCAGGATCTAGTGAGCCTGTCTGCTCTCCTGTCCTGAGCTGTGGGAAGGGGACGGAAGGGGATTCTGAATCAGGACTCCTGAGGTCAAATTCATAAGAACTAGGAGTCATCAAATGAAATCAATGGGTAAGAGGCTTAAACAAAAGGAAGTTATTCTTCACACAACGCACAGTCAACCTGTGGAACTCCTTGACAGAGGATGTTGTAAAGACCAGGACTTTTACAGGGTTCAAAAAAGAAGTAGGTAAATTCATGGAGGTTAGGTCTATCAATGGCTATTAGCGAGGATGGGCTGGAAATGGATGACAGGGGAGGGAACACCTGATGATTCCCTGTTCTGTTCGCTCCCTCTGAGGCATCTGGCATTGGCCACTGTTGGAAGACAAGACACAGGGCTAAATGGACCTTTGGTCTGACCCAGTGTGGCTGTTCTTGTGTAACAATACTGATGGCAGAGAATCACACCTGGATTGAATTTAATCACTTTTTTTCCCCATGGTATGCCACTGACATGCTGCCTGGCCCTGGGCAAGTCACTCCAACTCCCCGTGCCCAGAAGGGTGTAACTATCTTTCCATAGCTTGTAGCAACTCCTGGGAGCCTTTGTGCTGGGATAGTTCTGGAATTTGAATGCAAGGATTCTATGAGCAATGGGGCCAGGATTTCTCTATTGGTGGGAATTTTGCCATATCTTGTAATGGGGCCAGGATTTCTCTATTGCTGTTGTCTGAGGTGAGACAAAGGAAACTAACCTTCTCCTTAACACTAGAGCTTGTAACCTCTCTTCAGGGCTGGGGAACCCATCCATGTGGCAGCTTTCACTGGGGCTGCCTGATTTATTACCTTATCTGCTTGTTAGAAGGTAGAGGCCTTTGTTTTTCATCACTCCCCACATGGGACCTTGACAAATCCTCGAGAAATTCACTGTCAGACATTTTACACTTGATTTTAAAAAGCGTCAGGTGTTTTTCTTGAGTTGGCCCTAATAAAAGCAGTGACAGGAAATTTAACAGGGAACTCCGGCACAGGCAAACTTGGCAGGTGGGCACCGTAATATGTTGGGTACTTGCCCGTACAGATCAGTAGTCTCGCTGCCCAACCAGATGAGCTTACTAATACAAAATGTTGCCCTTGTGACTGTATGGCACTGCCTGTTGGTATGGCTGAGGTGTGTGGTAGAAAGCTGTGGGATACTGCCCACCCACCTCTCGCTCAGTCACAAAGGCGCTCGCATTCTACCTACAAAGCAAGGTCGCTGTTAATTTTATAATGCCATGGTTGTCCTTCTCTGAAAGCTCTGAATTCATGGTCACCTAGGAGTTCGTGAGTAGCTCTTGGTTGCATGTTATAGTCACTCAGACTGTGAGAAGGGAGCTCAGATCCTAGAGATCCTACCACAGATCCTACCACATGAGCTAGCAGAGAACCTCTTACACTTGAACCTCTGTAATCTGGAAACAGGGTAATGCCGGATAAAAGAATTTACCGGGCCAGGGAGGGTGCTGCAAGGTCTGGGCATGAGGGAGGGATGTGGATGGGGAGCTTACCTGGCATGTGGAGCACACGTGGCTCCACACCTTCCGTCGCTATAGGAACGGCAGGGAAAAGCCTCAGGGGAAGTGCATCACTGAACTACCATTCTCCCAGCTGTGGGGAAGGGGGAGCCACTCTGCCTTCCCCTGCCAGGGTCTGGATCACAGACGTTCCCAGATTGGGGACCCCTGGAGTACAGAGGTTCAGGTACACAGTCAGGCAGTACTGAGAAGAGTTTCTCCCTTCAGCATGATTTTCATTTTTCAACCACTTAAGCACTAGCAGGCAGTGCTGGTAGGCTCTTTTCTTTTTCTCTGGACAGTCACTAAAGAAGGACAAGGATCCATGATCTTCTCGGGTGGGTTATGCAAGCCTGTATGCCTACACATGGTCCAATCAGTCCATACGTGGGTGTTTGTTGTGGTAGTGATAGAGTTGTTTTTTGGTTTCCTCAGAACTGAGCATAAATTACTGGGCTGGTGCCTTTTCCCAGCATTCCCCTGCTTTGCTAACTTCAGGAAGGCTTTTTGCCATGTCTTAATTGATGGAAAAATGCATGCTCCACCCTGTGAGAGATGCTTCCCAAAGAAATTAATTAACACGAGTCAGCACCAAGGTGATGCACCGCTGAAGACTGGTCCCCTGCGGAGGGGTACATTTCGCATGAATTAGAGATGCTCTAGTGAAAAGTAGAAGCCATGCCCTGGATGCAGGAATCATTGGTTGAGGTTCCCTGGCCTGTGTGACACAGGGTGTCAGACTCGATGATCCACATGTTTCCTTTTGGCCTTAAAAAATCCATGAATCCTGGGTGATTAGTGTGTTTCCTCTTTCCCCACCATGCACAGTAGAAAGGACCATTCGATTTCATCTCTGTCCTTGGGCACAGGACCAGGCCTGCAGACTAGGGTGGGCAAAGGCCCAGGCCCCAGGGCCTGACAATTCTGGGACCGAAATATCAACCCGATGGTGGCTGGCCCCCTGGGGCCCTTTAAATTCCTGTTGAAGTGGCTTGCTGCAGACTCTGGGCTCGGGGAAGGGCCGCACCATGCTCTGAACAGTGCTGAAGGCCAGCTGCTCTCAGGCCTGCCCCTTCCACCCTCAGCTCCTTCTGGGAGCATGGAACCAGGCCCCTTCCCTGACCTTGCCTGGGAGCCCACAGGGGCTGTCAGCTCCACTCCTGGAGACAGGATAATAGATTTGCTGGACTAACGATCTGACCTGCTCTGGAAATCCCTGTGATCCAGGCTTCACCCGGGACGAATTCTGGGCCCAAGGAACCCCCGGGAAATAGGAACCGTCAGAACCTTGAGCCTTGTACACAGTTTCCTATGAGTTCTCACTGCTGGGGGCATCAACATCTTCCTTGGGCCCCTGAGCAAGGTGGGGAACTCACCTCCCCCCAGACTGCAGCACTGCCCCCTCCCCCCCCTCCCAGTCCATAGAGCTGCGTGGAGAGGTGCTCTGGCAGTGATTTAAAGGGCCTGGTGCGTCAGCCACCACCACTGCCATAGCAACAGCAGCCGGAGTCCTGGGCCCCTTTGACTCACTGAGCCCTGGGGCCTCTGCCCCCTTTGCCCCCCGCCTCCCATTGTCATGCCTGCTCACTGTTTGTCAGTCGATGGCGCTCAGCCTGGCTGGGTATCTAGGTAAACAGAGCGCCATAGACAAAACAGGCTAGAATTGAATTTGGCCAACAGTGCTGAGTGGAGAGAAGGAGCTAGAGGTTTGCAGGAGGCAGGGATGAGATGAAGGGTCTGAAATCCAGGCCCGGCTGTGGCTTTGACAAGTTTTATTAGCTGCGAATGGAGCGCCGGCCCTGCCCTGACTTCCGACAACCCACACCCACAAACTGCTTCCTAAATGTAATCACATAAGTGCCGTGCTAAACCCTAGGGATGTACAAGTTGTCATTATGGTAACCGACCCGACCCACGGGCCTATCAATCTTCCAGAGGCACAAACCCGTCCCTCAGACTTCACTGCCCAGAGTGCTGCTAGGGCAGGGAGACTACAGAAGCTAGGTTTTTGTTATTTCATCTGCAGCCCATCTGGACGGAGCTCAGCATCTCACTGACGCTGCCCTTCAAAATGCTGGGCCAGTCAGGAGGGTGAATAGGCATAGAACCGAAGGTGACAGTTCCTGATGCTAAATGTGCCAGGACCTTTATAAAAGCATACCCCCGCCTCCCACCCACGCACCCATGGCCACTGGGATAATGTGACCTAGGAGCCTAAGAGTCATGGAAAATCAATGAACTCCAAGAGCCAACATTGCATCAGGGAACAGGAAGGACGGCTCCTAGTGGAGAACAATTAGCACTATCTTACGGGGACATGCAGCTGCACCCTTCTCTGTGCAGGATCAGGGTCTTAAGGAAGTACTTGGAACCCACCAGGCACCAGCTTAACAAGTAGCCGAGGCCTTTACAAACAGGCAGGCTTCTCCCTCGGGAGCTCGGCAGAGGGACCTGACAAACCTACGGGCCAGCCTGGCATTTTGCCCAGCAGAGGGCAGTGCCTCTCTGCTAGGGCAGCCAGGCCCTCTTGGGCTTTTCACTACCAGAGGTTCCTGCTTAGAACATTCCAGGATTCATCCACCCACCCCAGCCTACCTGCCCTGATAGCCCAAACTGTAGTGAGACTTGGGCACAGAGCACTAAAAATACATCATTAAAACAACTTGACAGGAAACCTACTAATGTCGTTAAATGTGTTGCTGAGCTAGACCCTTGGCTTTCCTTGCCCTGCCCCGTGGATGGCCATAAATGGGATTGACTTTGCCTCTAATGAAAGTGAAGTGAAGTCTCCTACTATAACTCCCAGGTGTCAGTCCTGTGTTTTATCGGCCTGTGGAAAAGACTCGGTTGGTCCCCAAGTAAACGACACATTACGAACCACTGTAATGATCAGTGTAGAGCATTCATCGTCCCATCAAGGAGGCCAGGATCTTGC